CCTCCTTATTACGCGAAAAAAATGATTCCTCCCACTGACATCTGGGGCACGCCGGTTGGGAGGCTAACCTGTGGGCCTACTAAGTTGACGCGTACGCAGGGCTTGTCAACTTAGTCAACAAACGATTCTAGTAGAAGTAACCTTTGGATTTGAATCGAACGGTCATGCTGCTTCTTCAATCGCTGCTCTTCTTGCACCAGCCACCCAAACCAGCACCGGGGAGACCGCCTGCTCCTGCCTCCAGAGGTCGGCTGTGCTGCCGTTGAGGCCTCATCGCCTCCTACTACTCCCACTGCTAGCCAGGCCCTGTGGCGACGGCAGCCTCACATCGCAGCCGAACCAGTGAACCCTCGTACTCATCTCCGCGTGGGCATCCACTGTCGCGTCTTCCCCGGCTCCACATCGTCCCCTTCCTAGGCCTCGCCATCGTCCACCGCCTTGGTGCTCTCGGCGCGGTGTGGTCAATGTGGTCAACGACATTCCATCGGAAGAGTACTGTACATGGAGAGGCTGACAGCTGGGTCCACGACCACAGCCCAGTTTTTTGTGATTTGCCAAGTAAGTCGCTTTGCCAGGCCTGTTGGGCTGCAAATCTTTCAAGACGAGGAGAGATTTCATTCGGCTGGCCGAGAAAATGGCCCATCAGTAATGAGAAATGGGCTGTACATTTTTAAAACACATCAAACATGCAGTTAGTTTCAAATATCTTTTTTTTCATTTTGAGATTTTAAATTACATTGATATACATTTATATTGAATTTGTTGGATTTTATATTGATATACATTTATTTTTAAAATCAGTTTGAATGTGAGTCGAAATTTCAGGATTAAAAACAGTTCGTACCGCACCGAAATATGCAAAATTTCGTATAATTTTTTAACCGTGGCCACAATACGGGCTGTAATGCTAACAAAAAGAATATGGGCTCCAAAAAAACCTTAAGAATTAGCAAATGGGCTGTAAATTATTAGAAATAATGGCAGATGGGTTGTATGTTGTTTTCCACAGATTTAAGGCTTTCCTAAAAAAAGGTTGACGCACAAGCAGCGGCTGTTGGATGTCCATACAACGGCCGTCGCGCTTCTTCAATCTCTGCTCTTCCTGCTCCAGCCGCTCAAACAAGCGCCGGTCGGACTGCCTACTCCCTCCTCCCCGCGCTCGGCTGTGCTGCCGCGCAGGCTTCACCGCCCCATCGTACTCCCACCGCTGGCGTAGCCATCCCTCTACTCACCCACACCTGCTGTTATTCTCCGGCGACGACAGACGTACCAGTAAACCCTCGTACAGTCGTACTCCCCTCTGCGTGGGAAACAACTGCCAAGTCTTCCCCGCCTCCGTGTCATTCCCTTCCTAGGCCTCGCCGTCGTCCACCGCCCTGGTGCTCTCGGCGCGGCCTGGTCAACATGGTCAACGACCGACATGCATCTGAACTGGACTGTACGTGGAGAGGCCGACAGCTGGGTCCCCGGCCGCACGCAAGGAAATGCCTCCTTATTACGTGCAAAATAATGATTCCTCCACCTGACATCAGGGACCCACCGAAAGGGCCTCTGTATTTCGTGAAAAAACGTTACCACCGCTGACAGCTCGGACCCACCAGCTATATCTTCGCACGCAAGGAAGTGCCTCCTTATTACGCATAAAAAAAATGAATACTCCCCCTGTTAGTTGGGACCAAGTATAGTGGCAGGCTGACTTGTGGGCCTACTAAGTTGACGGGGACGGAGGGCTTGTCAACTTAGTCAATATGCACGATTCTAGCTCGAGTGACCGTACGATGTCCATCCAACGGCCGTAGTGCTTCTTCAACCTCTGGTCTTCTTGCTCCAGCCGCCCAAACCAGCGCCGGTCGTGCCTCGTGCTCCTGCCTCCCATGGCCGGCTGCGATGCGGTGGAGGCCTCACCGCCCCCTACTACTCCAACTGCTGGGCAGGCCATCCCTCTACTCACCCACACCCCTGTTATTCTGCGGTGATGGCAGCCTCACACTGCAACGAACCAATGAACCCTCGTACTCCTGTACGTGTGGGCATCCACTGTCGCATCTTCCCCAGCTCCACGTTGTCCCCTTCCTAGGACTCGCCGTCGTCCACCGTCCTAGTGCTCTCGGCGCGGCGTGGTCAACATGGTCAAGGAACGGCTTCCATCGGACGTGGACTGTACGTGGAGAGGCTGACAGTTGGGTCCACGGCGGCCGCAAGGAAGTTCCTCCTTATTACGCGCAAAATAATTATTCCTCCACCTGACAGCAGGGACCCATCGGACGGGCCACCGTGTTCCGTGAAAAAAATGTTTCCCCCCTGACTGCTAGGACCCACCAGCTACACCTTCGCACGCAAGGAAGTGCATCCGGGCAAAAAAAACCAACACGATTCGCCCCTCTGACTGCTGGGACCCACCAGCTACATCTTCGTAAGCAAGGAAGTGCCTGAAAGTCGGGACCCACCTGGTCGAAGCGTACGTAGCATTGTCATTCTGGTCGCGAACGTGTACGTACATATATACTGGTGGATGTAGAGGCGCACACGTGTCGTAGTAGAGGCGCGCACATAGCATGTACACGTATGTACAGTGGCCAGGGTGCAGGAAAGAAAATACGGCCACGTATGTGTACATACGGGCGGGGTCTCGAACGCCTACTCGCGCATACGTACGGCCAGGGCTCGTGTACATGGCTGGGTCGGAACGGAGAAACATCATCGTCATCGTGTTCATGGGGAGGCAACGAAATGCGTCGTGTACATGGGGAGGCAACGGAATGCGTCGTGTTCATCGGGAGGCAATGGAACGCGTGGGAGCCAACCGGCTGGGTCGGAACGGAATGCGTCGTCGTGTTCACCGGGAGGGCTTGGACGGAACAGGCGATGGAAACGAGGCCTGGCGTACCGCACAACGAAGAAAATGGCCTTGTGTTCGACCAGCCACGTTCGAAACGGGATCCTGTTCATCGGGAGGGGTCTGGCGTACCGCAAAATGGAGGAAACAGACCTCCTACGGTCGAAACGGGGGTCCTGTTGATTGGGAGGGGTGTGGCGTACCGCAAAACAGACGAAACAGACCTCCTACGTTCAAAACGAGGGACCTGTCGATCGGGAGGGGTGTGGCGTACCGCAAAACGGACCAAACAGACTTGTGTTGGAGTGCTACAGTCGAAACGGGGGTCCTGTTCATCGGGAGGGGTGTGGCGTACCGCAAAACGGGGCTCCACGGGATACTGTTCATCTCTACCGTCGACCTCCTCCAGCCTCCACGTGCTACCGTCGACCTCCTCCAGCCTCCACGGGTCCTGTTCATCCAGCCTCCACCGTGTGCTACTCCACCGGCTACTGTTCAACCACCCCTCCTTGGGCACCCCTCCACCATCTACTGCTCATATAGCCCTCCACACCATGGGGTCCTGTTCATCTAGAGGCAACGCCACCGCTCACTGTTCATCCAACCCCCCCTGCAACGCTCACTGTTCATCCAGAGAGGCAGCATCGATCGGCTTCAGTTAGCAGCATTAGCGAAGGAATCGCTCGATCCCGTTCAGTTAACAACCATCGATCGATCGCTCGGGTTCAGTAACATGTAGCCTGTAGTGCAATCGCTCGGGTTCAGTTAGAGCCCAACGCCTCGCTCGGGTTTAGTTAGAGCCAATGCCTCGCACACACACGCGTACGTGTATGAGAGCAACGCGCATCGCTCGGCCCCCGACCTCCCACCGTAAGCGGGAACTCCCCGTAATTTTCCTCGCCCTCACTCTACCACGGTTTTTTCCATCATGGACGGCCCAAAGAATGTCATGCAGCTGCGTCTCCGGCCCGCCCAGGACGAAAATCCCATTTTCTGTCATGATTTTTTGTCATAGAAGTAGGAGCCCACCACATCTATGATGATACCGGGTTTTGTCACAATTATCGTCATAGAAGTGTCATATGTATGACAAAAAAAATTCGTTCGGCCCAAAATGTCACGGATGTGTCTTTTTTTTGTAGTGTAAGCCCTGGCGAGGCAACCATTTTGAACTCTTCTGGTTACTGATTTGGCGCTTATACACGGTGCTCTATGCACTATTTCCCCTGACATATGGGCCTTTGTGTGCCCGGCCTCACGCATTGCGGTTTAAAACCGACTCGGCTACTATGGGCACAGACTTAGTATGAGACTGGCTGGGGCCTGGTTGCACCTAGGCGATCAATTTTTTTCGTATTGCAAGCAATTTTTTCTTTTTGAACTGCATGTAGTTGCGTTTTTCGTATGCACCATTTGTATTACTTGTACCAACGTTGCGGACTGCACAACATGCACTAAGTCTATGCCTTGTATACTGCATGAAAGTGCATCTCTTGTGCTTCTTCTAGGCACTCATTGCATGTATACACCTTGTGCACTGCCTGTATTTACTCTTGTGAGCTGCATTCACCTTTCTTATTAGATGGGAGTAGCAGTTAGAACTCTTAGTCTTTTGGTCTTCCCTATTTTCTTGGAAACGTTGGTTTTATTAATTGTACTTCTATTCTGGTGACGTAACTTCCATTAATTTCTCACTTTTTTGGTGCGCACTCCATGTACTTTACTTCCGCACTACATACGTTGACAAAGAGAACTTCCTATACTTTGCTTGTGTACTGCATTTCCCTTCGTTATTCACTGACTGCTCAAAGCTGTTTCAAAATAGTTGTTGGAACAGTTTTGTTGAACAATATTTTTGAATATGTTTGTATGTTTGTAGTATGTTTTGGTGTCACACATCAAATTTTTCAAAATTTTCTAAATACTTGTTATAATACAAACTCAACAATCAAAACCTAGTAGCGGCGACATTGTTTTACAAAGAAACATTCAACATGAAGCAACGGGCATAAGCTAAACCTAGCCCTGTTCATTTCTAGTTGCTGTATGGGATTACAACCTTGTTCTTCTTTGCTTCTATTTCTCTTTTCGCCCTGTCTAGCCCCATTATGACATCGCGGATGATTCTCAATGACTCGTAGGTTGTGAATGCATATATTGCTGCCTACTTGATAAGCTTGTCTGGCAGCGGGCAAAACCCCCACAGAGTATGGTCTTCGTTGCGGTTGATTGTGTTCTTCATGTCATAGTAGTGAATGTCGATCAGCCTGCTGGCAACATCAGCCAAAGAATCAAATTTCTTTTCCTCGTATGGGTCCCCCCATTCCACCTGAATATAAATGTAGTTGTCAGAGTTGATCGCCAAGCCAGATAGCTGCAGCTTGTTTTTGTCTCCTTCAATGGCGAATCTAGCAAAGGTGTATTCATCATTCATAAGGAATTTGTCCAGTTCCATTGGCCTGCAAGATGTTTTTATGCACTGAATATAGTGAGACAGTACTGGTTATTTTGAGAACCACCAAATGGTTTTTTTGATTTTCTTGAACTGAAATGCAATATGAATCCTTGAATCTGTTGCAGTGAGTTGCAGCTAATACTTTGTACAACATAACTAGTAAATCTCATAACAGATTCCAGAAACAAATGCATGTTTGTTGTCTTGAATTGAAATTCATACATGATTCAGATAGATTAGACTATGATCTTTTTACCTCCAAATCCATACAGGATTGAAAGTAGGCAGTAATAGTGCAGTTTTCTATTGTTCAGGCAGATAATTTGTATTTGGTAAAAAAATCAAACTGTGTGGATCCCTAGATCATCTAATTCAAGAATTGAACACATGAGTTACATGGAGCCACCCGAAAACTGTGAATGAATTCCTATGCCATGCTTTTTAAAAATGAGAACCCAAGTTTATATAATGGATTTGTGATGAAGAAAATTTGAAATCAATATTGACAACCAAGAGTACAGACTGATAATTATTGTCACCTGTCTTTAGGTGCAAAGATGTGGTAGACAAGGCACTCTTGTTCTATGCATAGCTGGAGCACTTCTACCCGCTGTGGCTTCACATAGTGCGTGTACTGGACATTAACACTGACTAGTTTGCCGGGCATTCCGCCGAGTTTCCTCCTGAGCGTGGACAACATCTTGTCCACGTCTCGACCCTTGCTTGTCCAAACGACGTGCAACTTGTGGTTACCGTGGAGCTCGACGTCGTGGAGCTCCCTGGTGTACCTGCGGTGCTGCTTGTACAGAGGTGCATCCGCCATGGCTCTCCTCTGCTCTCTTGCGTTTGTTCTGGATAGAGAGGTTAGTGAAAGGAAGTGGGGAGAAGAAGCGGCAATGGGGTTTTTGTGGGATGAAGCAGTTGTAATTTCTCCTCTGCTCTCTCTGCTCACTGTGACAGGATGTGGGAGTGGTGGAGGGGGTGGTAGCATGGTGGGGTTGTGGTTTCAGTTACGTGGCAACTGCATAGAGGTTCTACGATGTGGAGGTTGTGTTAGTGTGTTGGAAATCCAAAACGGCGTCACCTCTTTTTTTATGACAACTTCAGATATTCATGCAACTGTCAAAAATTGGATGATTGTGTTTTTGGTGAATTTTCTTAATAAGAGCACTTCTTGGGTATCATGATAGAACTGCCTATGTCCATAAATTGTACTACATGCAACTGATTTTATTCTTCATATAATGTATTAGATCGGATCAAGATTCATACAGATGTAAGCGCACTGCTTTTTCGATGGAGTTTATTTTTATTTTCTTATTTTTATAAATGATGGTGATGCATCTTTTGTGGGGGTGGAGGGTTGTGTGGGTAGGTGTACCGGACTACTTTGCTTAACTATGAGGGTTGCATTCTTCATTTTAACCGAACTGCAATACAGTAGAAAGGGAACTGCATTCCAGAAGTAATAATACTTCCTGCTTCCACAGGACGAACTGCATTCTTGTAGGCCACGGACTACATTTGTACATTGACTTGGGGCTTCCTGTATTTATTTTTGAGAGTGAACTGCAGTTTCTTGTAGCTCCCACACACATTTAGTTGTTGTGGTTATTCATTTTAAAAAGTTCTAAATTTTTCTTGTTGTTTTATTTTATTTTTTTATTTTTGTATTCATTGTTTTAATTTAGTGGGTCATGGTATTTTAACCACTCTCATGTGTTGGGCCTGTGTTGGGGATCGAAGACACATCCGACCCAGTAGGCCTCCGACACAGCTGGTTCGCGGTGCGCTATGTGCGTGCGCTAATGTTTAGTCCCACCTCGCCCGCCGATAGCGCTCCCGACCGGTTTATAAGCCCTGGCGAGGCAATGCTCTCGAATTCCTCTAGTTACTGATTGGGTGCTTATACACGGCGATCGCTTCACTTCCCTCCCTGGCCTATGGGCCCTTGTGTGGCTGGCCCCATGCATTGTGGCTCAGAACAGACTCGCCTACTGTGAGCGCAGACTTGGTACGAGACTGGTTGGGGCCTGGTTGCACCTGGGCGGTCAATTTCCTTTCTTTTCGTATTGCAAGTATTTTTTTCTTTTGAAGTACTTGTAGTTTCTTTTTCATATCCACCATTTGTATTGCTTGTACCAATGCTCCGGACTGCATTGCGTGTATTTACAGACTACACTGCGTGCACTAAGTCTATATGTTGTGTACTGCACAAAAGTGCATCTCTTATGCTTCTTCTAGGCATTCACTGCATGTACACACCTTGTGCACTAACTGTATTTACTCTTGTGAAGTGCATTCATCTTTGTTTAGAATTGTTTATGAATTATAATTTTTTAGAAATATAAATATTAATGAGTTGTGTTTAGTGAGTGGGAGGAGCTGCAGTCAAAGTACACCTTTTTTGGTCTTTCTTTTTCTTGGTAACATAAGCCTTTATTGATTGTCCTTCATTCTTGGTAACATAAGTTTCATTAACTCTCATTTAATTTTCACTTTTATTTTCTACATGGCTAGACCTTTTGCATTCCTCTTCTATATATCTAGGCCAACTTCTAACCTTCCTTTGAAGTTCATTTTCTCTCTAGCCGCAACTTCTCTCCTTCCTCCAGCCTCCCTCTCTTTCTTTTCATTTTCTAGGGTTTGTTGTGATGGCTCCAGGCCCCTGCGTGAATCTCTCCTACTGCGGCCATGGTTGTGGTGTGCCCATGGACTGCGATAGCTCAGCTTGCTCGTAGGCCCGTTGTGCTCGCCGGGGGGGGGGGGCAAGGTCTTGTGCCGAGATGGGCGAGCGAAGAAGCTTGCATATGGCACAATTTTCATGGAGGGATTGGATCTGGACCATATAAACGTTGTTGCATTCTATTCTGCCCTGCTTCGTCGTGGCCTTGGCAGCACAAGTCCTTTTGTACATCAGCTTACGCCCACAGACATGGAGACTCACTACAAGATGGTAATTTTCATTTGATCTAATTTTTTCTTTGTGACTTTTATTTTTTTGTATAATTCCATACTAGTCTGAACTTCTAGTACTTTAGGAACATACTTCTTTTTTTTATTGAAGTGTAATGCACGGTATTCTTATGTCTTGATTTTATTTTTTTCCTTGCGTCTATGGAGCTCCTGTTTGTTTGCATGTACTATGATGCTCCATGAATATACAGTTCGTACTATATGGTTACAATATGTGACCTGCTTAGGTATGAGATGAGTACTAGTAGTTTTCACAATTTTTCCCCGTGTACGGTGTGTACTACATGCAACTATTTTTAAGAACTACATGATAGTTAGAAGCTACTGCTTATTAGCATGATCCGTACTACATGTACCTCCGTTGTATAACAGGCTCGTGAACTATGTGTGCGTTTTATCTGTACTGCTTGTTGGAGTGTTGTGCACTTCATCTAGCTCGCGTCTATACTGTGTGCAGGGCTTTTCTGCTGTGTACACAATATGGGAATTGTACTGCTAGTATCATCCTCTAACAGTTTTATTATTTTTTGAAGAAAATCTCCCAACGAGCTGTTAGGTATCTCTGGCTCAAGAAGAAGGGAATTCTCCAAGTTGTTCTAGGTAATGGACATCAGAAACTAGCTAAGTACCGTGTAGGCATTGATGGGCAGCTGTATCTGCAGAAAGGCTGGAAGGAATTCTTCATTGAGAGTAGTCTGAAGTCTCAACAAGTTGTTGTCCTCAACTTTGTTGAACTCGAGGATCGTATGGTTAGAATCACGTTTGACGTGATTGGTTAAGGTTATGAGGTTGTCGGATATCGGGTTCCGGCAAAAACCTTGAGGTTCGAACACTGGGGTGCGCACGAAGATTTCCCCCTACCGAATCATGCTCTCAGCCTCGCCGTGATCCCTAAGCTAACTAGATGAACTCACAGCACAAGAGACACAAGATTTATACATGTTCGGGCCACTATTGTGGTGTAATACCCTACTCCTGTATGCTGGTGGATTGCCTCTTGGGCTGATGATGAACAATACAAGGGAAGAACAGCCTCCTTAGGAGAGGTGTTCTTGTGGTTGGCGAAGTTGTGTGGGTGAGGATGATCTGGATGATCCGTTATCCCTTCCACTGTGTGGCCAATCCTATTTATAGAGGCCCTGGTCCTCTCCCCAAACATTGAGCGGGAAGGGATCCAACAACGGCCAATTTGAAAGGGACACCTAGTGCAAGCTATCCTGACTAAAGGTGGTCTTCGCCTGTCAAAGGCGCTGGTGGTGACGCCGTCTTGGGCTCCACGATGACCTCCGTCCTGCCGTCCTGCTAGTCTTGATCTTGTTGCACCAATATGGAAACCTTTGCCTGATGCCTCGGTACTCCGCGCCTGCGCTTGCCCCCTTAGCACCAAAGGGGAAGAGAGGACACTGCGCGGGCTGTCGCCCGCCTGGCGCCCGCCTAGCCTTGGTCGTCATGGCTTGCGTCATGGTATAGTCGTGAGGTACCCCTTGCCTTGATCTCTCTGCCTCCCTTGCGAGCCTGCCTGGTGAGGCAGCTCCTGTGGAGGCCTTGTGTCGTCCTCCCCGCGAGGCTTGGCCCCTTGCGAGGGTCTTGAGCGTTAGTTGATCAAGATGGGTCATACTGGGCCACTGGTGGAGCCACGCCGCAGCCTGCAGGCAGGCAAGTCTGGGGACCCCCGTTCCTAGAACACCGTTAGTAGCCCCCAGTCCCAAGGCGCGCTCGGACTTGGCTTAGCGGCGAAGCCAAAGGGCAAGTGCGGAGCGCCGCGGGCCCTAATAGCTTGCGGCCTTGGTCGACGCATGGCGACTGATTGGACGTGGGCTCTCTGCTTCCCCACGCTGCCTCTGCAACTGCTCGACTTGACGAGTCCCTGCTGCATGCAAAAAGGGCCATCATTACCTGTGATTGTGGAGGTCGACGGTTGGCCTCCCTTGGGCTATAAATGAGGGGGGGAAGCCCCCGTTGCCCATCTCTTCCCATTCCGCTCGCTTCTCCTCAATCGCTTCTGTTGCTTGTTGTGTCCCCCATGGCGCCCACGAAGAGGTTTTCGGACGCGGAAAAGGGGAAGGCTTGCCAGGAAGGGCATGGCTCTCCTCCACCCAAGTGCGGACGCGGTCGCCCTCGCAAGCACTCTGTGAGCCCCGCCATGGCTCTCTGCGGCCATGGCGGTGGCCCTTCATGTGGTGGGGGCCGCCCTTGTCGAGGTAGCCCGATTGGTCGAGGAAGGGGTGCTGTGGCTGCGCGGCATCCCCGGCCGCGCTTCCACTCGGCGGAGGTGCTGCTGGAATTCGTCGTGTGGTCGGACAACCCGGCTGGCCACTGGATTCAGCTCCCGCGTTCCTTCGTCGGCGAGCTGCCGGCCACTGGCCCAGGGGGGCTTTGGCTGCAGGCGGAGGGCTGCTGCAGCAGGGCCTCCTGGGTCGTGGTGGAGATCTCCTCGCCGGCAAGGCAGCCCTGGCCCGGGGCTGGCATACGTTTGTCCGCGTGCGCGGTCTGGGCAGGCGGTGCACCCTCCACTTCAAGTATGATGGCGATGCAACCCTCTACGTGAGGGTGTTTGGGGAAGATGGCCGCCGCGTTGGGTGCTGCCCTGAAGACAACAACGATGACGAGGTGCTCGGTCTTGGTGACGGTCGTGATGAGGGTGAAGGCGAACTTGCTCCCGGCGGTGACCGCGGCTCGTCAAGCTACGGTGGCTCTTCCTCCGGTGGCAGCTCCTCCAACGACGGCTACGATCAACCGCCACGCCGCCGCGCCCGCCTCGAAGGTGGCATCGGGTCGTCCCGTCGCCGCGCTTCGATGAAGCGCGAGGTGGGGTCTGGCTGAGCTCAGGAGGACACAGTAGATCCT